TGCCAACTTTCGAGGGTTGATCTATGGCGGTAGTTTCCTTTGTCGATGATTTTGCTGTTTTCAAAATCTATTTTATGATCATTTGACCATAATGTGCCTGTGTTAACCCAAAACTGATGAATAATGTGCCTGTGTTAACCCAAAACCGATCAAAATTACCAAAGCTTGTATTACCGAAATTTCGTGGCGATGTCACTCAGTGGAGAACCTTTTGGAATAGTTTTAATAGTGCCATACATACTAACAGCTATTTAACGAAGATAGACAAATTTAATAATTTTAATTCATTATTGGAGGGACAGGCTTTACAGGCAATTCAAGGACTAACCCTAACTGAGAGAACTATCAGTCAGCTATCGATATTTTAAATCAACGTTTTGATTGCATATTATTTCTACGCATATGGATGAACTCCTTAAAGTTCCAGCATGTACCACGGACAAGACCTCACAACTACAATTTTTTTATGATAAAATTAGCATCAATGTCCGGGGGTTAGAAGCCCTGGGGGTCAACTCAAGCCAATACGGCAGCCTTCTGATACCGGTTGTCATGTCAAAATTGCCTCAAGATGTCTGACTTCAGATAGCTAGAAATACTGCACAAGATGTGTGGGAAATGTCAGAACTGTTAAGTGTTATTTGAAAGGAAGACGAAGCTCAAGAGATAAGTGACGAAATCAAAGTGAGTCCTGAAAAACCCAATGCAGCGCAGCCTAAGCCACAGCCCCATGGTTCTGCTGCTGCATTGGTGGCTAATGGCCAACCCTCTGGAAATAAAATTCAATGTGTGTATTGTTCTGGCCATCATTTTTCTGCCTCTTGCACAAAGACAAGCGAAGTGCATGCTTGACTAGAAATCCTAAAACGAGATCGAAGATGTTTTGTTTGCCTCAAAAGGGGACATCGAAGTAATCAGTGTTCAAATCTAAGGGGTTGTAGACTGTGTAATGATAGACATCAATCCATCTGCAATCAACAAATTCCGACATTGAAACCTGATGCACATGAGCCAGCAGCCGCAACAAAGGAAAACAAAGGTGTTCATGGTTCCCAAACCTTGCAACAATTCCAAAATCGAACTGAAACCCCAGAACCTAATGCCCACACAGTTCATATACAGAGTACTAGAACTAGTGTCAATGCAAAGGGACAAGTTATGTAACAAACTATAGCTCCTGCTATAGCAACCAATGAAGATAGATCTAAATCGACTAAAGTAAAAATATTATTTGACAGTGGGAGTCAACTCTCCTATATTACTGATAGTTTGAAGTCAACACTGAACATAAAAGCCAAGAAGACTGAAACACTTCACCTCAACACCTTGGGTGAAAGAAGTTATCGAAAGCAGAAATGTGAAGTATTGCCATTGTCACTTCGAAGCAACAAAAACGAAGATGTTATGATTTCTTCCCTAAGTTTTCCATTCATTTGCTCTCCTTTATCTATGAAGATCGAAGTGGATCAGTATCCCCATTTACAAGGGTTACAACTAGCGGACAATTCTGATTCTAACGATTCTATTGATGTCCTTATTGGCTCTGACCATTATTGGGACCTTATTGAAGGTGATACAGTTCGAGGAGAATTTGGCCATGTAGCAATTGATAGGAAGTTTGGCTGGCTTATATCTGGACCAACCAACAATGGGTTGTGCAATGAAATATGCACAACAAATCTGGCAGTATTGGGTAGTGACAACCATTCTGCAACAACACAAGATCCACTAGTTGATGTGTTGAAAACATTTTGGGAGAAAGAATCGATTGGGATCAAAGGTGATCCAGAGCCTAAAGAATTCATTGAGTCGTTCAACAAGAGTGTACATTTCGACAGAACATGATATGAAGTTGAATTACCATGGAAACAATATTGCCGTTCCATACCAAGTGATTACCAGCTGTGTGAAAAACGTCTCAGATCTCTACATCGCAAGATGTTGCATTAACCAGAGTTATTACAGAACAGCAGATACAAGATGGAATTGTGGAAAAGGTTCCAGACAAAGAAATTGAAAACACTGGTAATGAATTTGTTCATTATTTGCCTCATCATGGAGTGGTATGAAGAGATCACGGAACGACAAAGCTTAGAATCGTTTATGATGGGTCAGATAAGCCACCAGACCGCGAGTACTCATTGAACGATTGTCTAGAGACAAGCCCTAACTTTATACCTCAGTTGTTTGACACACTCGTGAAGTTTAGATGGCATAGAATTGGCATAACTGCAGATATAGAGAAAGCTTTCCTTATAGTGGCAATTAACAACATGAATAAGGATATGTTACATTTCCTATGGCTAAAGGACCCAAATGATCCGAATTCAGAACTTGTACAATTTTGATTTACCCACCTAGTATTTGGCCTTCGACCTTCACCCGCTATTTTAAGCTCAACCATCCGACACTACTTGGAAACACAGAAAGATTTCGACCCTCAACTGATCGAACTGCTAAAGAAATCCCTCTATGTTGAGGATTTTGTGTCAGGTGCAGACAACAAGAAAGAAGCATCTGAAGTAACATCTAATGCAAAGTTGATCATGCAAAAGGGATCATTTAATCTACGAAAGTGGAACACTAACTCAAGTAACCTTAACAAAACGTTTTCAGAAGTTCACCAAATCCAACTAATGTGAAACGTGTTAAAGAAGAAGACAAGTCTTATGCAAAGACTCTGACTGGAACAACAATTGAAGCGAACAGCAACACGGTCAAGGTGCTAGGCTCCATTTGGAACACAAAGTCAGATACCCTAGAATTCAATTTTTCCAATCTTGTCAATGAAGCAAAATCACTTCCTCCTTCCTCGGCGTTTCATCAGCAGAATAGAGATGCCAAGAAAAATACTGACAACGCGAAAACTTTCAAAGCAGCTGCAAAGGAAGTAGCTAAGATCTACCATTCCAACAATGTAAAGTGTTATCTCACAGACAAAGGTGTTACGTGGAAATTCATAATGGAAAAGGCTCCATGGCATGGCAGCTTTTGGGAACAGTTAATCAAAAGCACCAAACGCTGCTTAAAAAAACAGATTGGATGAACCTTGTTGACATTCGAAGAACTGCGAAATATTCTTGTAGAAATTGAAGCAACTTTAATTAAACAATCCCCTTACACCAGTGAGTTTGATTTATGGATGTCAAATCGCAACGACTCCTAACAAAAGTGATTACAAGATTGTAAGTACGAACAAATCATTGACGTAGCGAAGTTCAAGATACGAGCAAAGTTCAAGACACAAGCGAACTACAAGATTCTAGCGAAGTTCAAGACACAGGCGAAGTTCAAGGCACAAGCGAAGTACAAGATTCGAGCTAAGTTCAAGACACAGGCGAAGTTCAAGACACAAGCAAAGTACAAGATTCGAGCGAAGTTCAAGACACAGGCAAAGTTCAGAGACAATATGACACTCGACCAAGACGTATAGCAGCTGTTAATGGAGAACTAATTAGAAGGAAGTATCGATGGAGATAAGTACTTATTAGTGTAGTCTAAAGTATATTTAGTTAAAGTTCATATTTGTTATGTTTGCTCACCGACGGTGATCAACCGGGGGACTGTAAAGAAGTCTAGTTTGTAATAGTATGCAAGCTACCTTAAGTAGGGTCCAGGCCAAACCAAGAGAACACATGTTTACGAAGAACTTTAGTTTATATTTTAGGTTTTAGGTTTTGTTTGTTAATGTTTGATATTAAAATACGATAAATATAACACCTTCCCAGCCGACCACGTGCAAAAAACAAGATATTGGTTTTTCTGTATCAGTGATGTATGGTCGGCATGTGCTAAAACCTGGACTGGACTATGGAGTGGACTGGACTATGGAGTGGACTATGGAGTGGACTGGACTATGGAGTGGACTGGACGATGGAGTGGACTGGACGATGGACTGGACACATTTGTGCTAAAACCTGGACAATAGACGGTTTTTATTTAGCTACAGCCGTTTCAACAAATTCAATCTCCAAATTCAGTCTCTGGCTATCACTTTGTCACTATAGACACTATACCATCAATTTGACACACCTTAATGACCTTACTTACTGAAATTCGATTGACAGTTCATTAAATAGAAATTATACAAATTTACAACATTTTAATCAATAATACAATTCTCGACGTTGCACTTTTATCGCAGCCTGTTGATTATCGTGAAAACGATTTTACTAACCTTTTTCAGTACTTCTTGGTACGCTTTGTGGATTGTGAGAGATTGATCTATAGATGTTGTAGCTTGAGAAGAACATTCTCTACAAGTACGAAATGTCGGTCCGGTTATTTACGCGCGCCAATTATTGAAAACGAAAACTGTTTTGCTACAAACTATAACTTATACAGTACTTGCCCAGTGATTTGGGGGATTTCGGAGTCTGAAACTTCTAGTAAATTCGCAGAAGAAATCCTTTTTCCTGAAGAAAGATGAATACACGTGCTTCAACAACACACAAGGTGTTTAAATTACCGTATATATATTTAAGTGCTTAATAAAATATCTAAAAATGCATGCTTCAGTGTTATACTACCAGTAAAACATTTTCATTTCAATTTTATTGTTACTTTACCTTGTAAAACTTCCGGGAAGGTATATTCCGTGGTAAATTTGAACATGATAGTACAATAGATTTACGATAATCAACAGGCCGCGATAAAAGTGCAACGTCGAGAATTGTAACATTGATTAAAGTGTTGTAAATTTGTATAATTTCTATTTAATGAACTGTCAATCAAATTTCAGTAAGGTAAGGTCATTAAGGTGAGTCAAATTGATAGTATAGTGAATATAGTGACAAAGTGATAGCCGGAGACTGAATTTGGAGATTGAATTTGTTGAAATGGCTGCAGCTAAATAAAAATCGTCCATTGTCCAGGTTTTAGCACAAATGCATCCAGTCCATCGTCTAGTCCAGTCCATAGTCCAGTCCAGGTTTTAGCACATGTCGTTTTGGTCTACTCCCAAATGCAAACAGAGTCCAATATCCTAATAAGTTTGAATGAGTGACTTCCTAAAACACAATTGAAGTGACGTCAACCCTAACTGAGCAAGCCAAAGGTCGGAGATTTAGCTGTCTCATAGTTTCATGTCAAATTCATACACATGTATGTATACAACCTTTATTTCCTTGCGATTGAGGGTTGAAATTATTACATTTAATGTTACAGTAAAAGGTTCATCTACAACCACTTTATAAATACTTGTGGCTTATTTTCTAAAAACAGAGTACATTCTACCATTTATTCCTAACTTTTTTCATTAAATATTTAAAACAGTAATATGAATTTTGAAATATTTATAAATACCTGTTTATGAACAGTCTGATATAAATAAAATACGGATGTTTGCTCTGGCTTGAAGTATCATTTTTGCCCACATTTCACAAGTTTTAATACTTGTTTGTTGTCTTTCATGCTCCATGGACGAGAATTAATGTGTATGGCTTCCACATCTTTGAACAAATGGTCAACAGTTGAAAAAATATCAAAACAACAAGGATTCACTGCAAAAAGCCGAAATATTTTTATAACTCAGAGATCCCAAGGATAGTGCAAAGTTGATATGACAACTGACCAGAAAGCACTATAAGGGGTGTGCACACGATAAGGGGTCCATATATAGGCCCCACATCCACCCTTTATCGTGCATGGTCTGTATTATTACCGTATTTACTCGATTGAGCGCCGCCCCCGAATAAGCGCCGCATTTGAGATCAAATATGTTTAAAGAGCGCCGCCCCCGAATGAGCGCCGCACTAAACAGTGTAAAAACTTTCCACCGTCAAAATGGAGACATTTAGTGACGAAAATATTTAATACTTGTTTATTTCATTGTTAAAAGTTCTTGTTATAATTCACAAATTTATTTTTTTTAAAGAGCGCCGCCCCCGATTCAGCGCCGCCCTCGAATGAGCGCCGCATCTGAAGCTCTGAAAATTTAAAGAGCGCCGCGGCGCTCAAACGAGTAAATACGGTATACTTTTATAGTCTGTATATACTACAGAATTTTAATCGATTACTTTAGTATGCTGTTTACATTTCCAGAAATATAATTTTACCACACATACTAACAGAACATAAGTACTAGAGATTTTTTACCATGCTAAAGCAGCACATCAGAGGCAGCACATACAGTGCTTAGTTTTCTAGAACAAATCACAATCGCTAAAATATTTGTGTTGCGTGATTGAAATGTATAGCTTTGCAGCGCTATTTATAGAACTACATTTAACTGCTTTGTTTACTACATTAACATTTTGACAGTGTATATAGACAGTGCATCAGATGCTTACGCATATGCTTGGGTTGAAGGGCTTACAGTAATATTCAAGACAAAATAACAATAACTAAGTACGTCTTATATAATAATTTAATCAGGTTTTGATATAAATGCAGTAAGATTCGCCCAGATCCTGTGTCTGTGATCATGATATTAACTGCCATCATTATTTAATATAAACATTAAAGAATTAAGAACCATAGTCTCTTTTTGCATGCCTGTGCTCCAGAGTAAAATTTTACAGTTACAACAAAATGGCAATATAAGATGCGAGTTGTTTATACTTATACAACCCTTATAGGTAGTACACGGTATTGAGTTATTTTTAATAAAATGTGTACTAAGCTAATTTATAATTGTTCGTAGATTAAATTTAGGTTGTTTACCATATAAGGGTTGGGTAGGCTTATTTTGTGTTAGTTGCTCGATTACCTTATATGGTTAATGAAGATCATACAAATTAGATTGATGATACGCAGTATGTTTATTGAATTTTTTAGACGCGGTGGGAGTGTGACCTTGCTATTCTTAATAGGATTAATTGTGATGGTTTTTGCATATTTGTTTTCCTGTGATGAATGTTTTGACATTGTCATGGAGTTTTAAATTTGATTGGCGTCTGAGCAATATGCTGTATACAAGTTATTAGCTGCTTTGCATGCAAAGTGTAATCTTTTCTCACTGGGATAACAGGATTAACACATGAATTTTCTGTGCTGGTGTTGTGTACTCAGGTGAATAATATGTTTGCGATGTTACTCTGAGTGCATATCCACACCGGGCGAGCTTGAAAAGTATGCCCGGCCACGGTGGGATTCGAACCTACGACCTCTGGAATACTAGCCCAATGCTCTTCCAACTGAGCTACGCGGTCAGGACGGTTCGAGTAAGTGATATTTCGGAACAGTATCTAGTTCCTTCAATACCAATGTGTTCTAGTAATATGAATTTTCTGTGCTGGTGTAGCATACTCAGGTGAATAATATGTTTGCGATGTTACTCTGAGTGCATATCCACATCGGGCGAGCTTGAAAAGTATGCCCGGCCACGGTGGGATTCGAACCTACGACCTCTGGAATACTAGCCCAATGCTCTTCCAACTGAGCTACGCAGTCAGGACGGTTCGAGTAAGTGATATTTCGGAACAGTATCTAGTTCCTTCAATACCAATGTGTTCTAGTAATATGAATTTTCTGTGCTGGTGTTGTGTACTCAGGTGAATAATATGTTTGCGATGTTACTCTGAGTGCATATCCACACCGGGCGAGCTTGAAAAGTATGCCCGGCTAGTATTCCAGAGGTCGTAGGTTTGAATCCCACTGTGGCCGGGCATACTTTTCAAGCTCGCCCGGTGTGGATATGCACTCAGAGTAACATCGCAAACATAGGATTAAGACAGTTACCACATTTTCCTTCCAAGGTGCTTCCAAAGTATTCAGCAATAATTTTTTGCTGACAATGTACACTATCCATCAAATAATGGGAAATTATGCAAGTGAAATTTCCTGTCTTCAAATCTATATAACACAATGCAGTGTGCATCAATGCCATCTCGACCGGCTCTCCCTGACTCTTGAACATATGCTTCATATAACTTGGTGCAAAAGTAAGGTGAATTACAAAGCAGACATCCTGCTTGTCAATACCCAACCCGAAAAGAATTTGTTGCACACAGACATTGACATTTCCATCCAGCCACAAGTTTGCATGTTTCAAATTGATTTCTGGATCCACAATGCCACCATGAAAATATATTGACGAAATACCATTCACTTTCAATTGCAAGGATAACTGTGATGTATCTTCCCTGTGACTACAATACACAATTCCACATTGACCACTGAATCTCGAACTTACTAGTTCCACACAACTTGTTTAAGTGCAGCTGAAAATCCAGGTTTCTTTGGGAAGACCTTGGATATTAGGTTCTCTCTAACAAATGGCAATTTGATTATCAGTGAGCTTTTAATTTGCTCAATTGTTATAGCTGTAGCAGTTGCAGTTAAAGCAACAATAGGGACCCCATACTTCCTGAGGACACCAAGCTCTTGGTAATCTGGACGAAGATCAACCCCCCAAGTGTCACTACAATGCGGCCTCATCTATAGCAAAAAAGTTTACTCGCCTTTTACATTTCAACTTGCAATGTGTGCATTGTTGGGCTCATTAAAACTTCTGGACTGGTCATCAGTACCTTATATTCACTATCACTTCTTCACAGCTATCCTTAGTTAGCATCGGGTTTATGTAACAGGTGTTAATGCCCTTTTCTCTTAGATTTAACAACTTGATCATGCATCAATAAATGTTGGGATTGTGTATATTACCATTTTTCCACCACCAGTAGGAATGACAACAACTGTATCTTTTTGTTGTAACACAGCATTTATTGCTTCCTTCTGTCCCGGTCTGAATGAAGAATGTCTAAATACATTTTTCAATATTGCATCAGGATTTTGCTCTCCTGGTAGATGACCATCACACTCATTCCTTGAAGA